AAGAACGTAAAATTTTTAGGGCTCCTTATCATGGTTTCCTTATCTAAGTCCTTGAAAAAAGGTGGCTTCTTTGGGGTGAAGGTCAACCTTACATCCACCCTAAACCCTAAACCCTAAACCCTAAACCCTACACCCTAAACCCTGAACCCTAAACCCTAAACCCTCAAAACCTCTAAAGCCCCGCAAAAAAGCACAGGATGGAGTCGACTTGGTTCCCATTTCTCTGGTCGGCTCCAAATGCTGCAGGCTTGGGAAACCGGAGGTTTAGGGCTCCAGGCTGATAGGGTTTGGGGTTCAGGGTTCGGGCTTTAGGGTTTAGGGCTTTAGGGTTTAGGGCTTTAGGGTTTAGGGCTTTAGGGTTCGGGCTTTAGAAATTGGGCCTTAGGGTTTAGGGGCTTTAGGGTCTAGGCCTTTCGAGTTTCTGGCTTTCGGGCTTTAGGGCTTAGGGCTTTAGGGTTTAGGGTGTTGGGTCTTCGGGCTGATAGCGTTTAGGGCTTTAGGGATTAAGGTTTAGAGCTAATAGGGTTGAGGGCTCTAGGGTTCAGGGATTTAGGGATTTAGGGTTTAGGGTATACATGCTCATATAGGGTTTTGGGTTTAGGACTGAGGTTTGCCTGCTGTCTTCGGATGGGAAGGTTCATTATACAAGTTTCACAAGGGTTTTGGAAAGGTTCGGCAAGGTGTTGCATAGGAGTTTCATAGGGTTTGGTAAGTGGGTAGTTCTCTAAATTAGGGTCCCTGTTTCGGTCCCCAATATAGTACGGCACCCTTATCAAAAGGACCCTAAAAGGGACCCTAATTTAGAAAACCACACAGGTGTTTTAAGATAAATGCTTGATGAGGATGGTAGAAGTGTTGCATATCCCTAACCCTAAACCCTAAACCCTAAACCCTAAACCCTAAACGTGGGGTTTAGGGTTTAGGGTTGTTTTTTGATGGGGGCGGGGGACTAGGGGTTGGGGGACCCCAAGTCCTAAACCCTAAACTCTCAACCCTAAGCCCTTATAAACCCTAAATTCCTAAACCTAAACTCCCTAAAGCCTAAACTCAAAACCCTAAACCCTGAACCCTGAACCCTCAAACCTAGAGGGTGTCGTGGGAGCTCGCGGTTCGGGTTTCGGGAGTTTGCAGTGAGAGGCGTCGGAGTCTTTGAATGCACCTAATATAGGGGCCGAAATAATTACCAATGCTATTTTGGTGGTTTCTCATTGTTAGCATAATGGACCCCAAAACCCTATTCTAACCATTAAGGCCCCTATATTACCCCCGCAAATGAAGCAACATACCTTCACTTCCCCCAAAGCCAAAATTGACCCTAGATCCATGAACTTATTATAGAAGGGACCGTGGTATGTGTGATTTGTGGCTTATTCATTGATTAGGTTTGTTGGAATTTGTGGAGTCGTCTGTTTAGGGTTTTGCGGTAGTACCCCCCCCCCCCCCAGAAAATAATAGCTTTCCGGGAGAGCCGGGATAATCTATTTTGCGGCTAGGTGCATGAGATAAGAAGCCACGATAGTAACTACAACCACCAACAGAAGGTGCCTCTAAACCGTAAATCCGAAACCCTAAACCCTAAACCCTAAACCCTAAACCCTAAACCCTAAACCCCAACCCTAAACCGTTACATTTTGGGGTCCCGGTGCTGTGGTATCATCCCTGGCCCAGGCCCGGGCAAGTAAAGCCTGGTAGTGTCTAAGGCTGTCAGCAGCAGCCGGAGATGTTGGTGGGCTTAGGGTTTAGGGTTTAGGTTTAGGGTTTAGGGTTTAGGGTTTAGGGTACCCTAAGGGTCCAAGTACCAAATAGTAGATACTTTGGCATTAAAGTAGTCCCTATATAAGTACTTTGGGGACAGAGTATATACTATTTGGGTTCATGGACCCTTAGGGTTACCTAGCCGCAAGCTTGATCGTCCTCAGCCCAAGTGTTTCACCCACGCCATGTTGCGAAGCGTTTCTAAGGACCGCCAGACAGCATCCTCCCTTCAAGGGAGGTCATCCTACTTGGTGGATCCCTGCACCCTGGCGAGAGATCAGTGGTCCCATCAGCCTAGACTCATAATATAGGCGCCTTAATATTACCTAGCCTATACTATTTTGGGGTCTCCTTATTTTTGGAATTATCAAACAATCTATCGCAAAGCCCTATGCTGTCTTGTGGGCTCCTTATGAAAATTGTCGTATTATAATATATGCCAACGCCCTATGCTATTTCTCAAGGCCCCTACATTACGTGGACCCTCACTACCGCAACATGTCCGTTGGTACTTGCCGTCTCGGTGGTCTTTCCATTTGGGGTTGAGGGTTTTAGGGTTTAGGGCTTAGGGTTTAGGGCTTCCGAATAGCCCAAAGAAAGTTCTACGGTTGATGATATAACTCCTGCAGTACCCAGAAATAAGGCCCCTGCACCCTAAACCTAAACCCTATACCATAATTCCCAGAGTTTAGGGTCCTTCAGGTAAAGCAGGACTTAGATCCTCAAGAGTATCTTTAGACTTGAGACCCCCGAAGCGGATATCATGTGTCATCCTAGAGCTCCCAGGATTGGGTTGTGAGAAGCATAGACCCCTGATCTAGGACATTTTCCGGGGGTACTTACCGTTATAGGAGCCTTACAGAAGGTCTATATTCCTTATGGAAGCCTTATAGAAGCGCTATATACCCTAAACCCCCCACCTGTAGTTTCCTTAAACCCGAAACCCTAAACCCCAAACCCTGAACCCCAAACCCTAAACCCTAAACCCTAAACCCCCCACCTGTAGTTTCCTTTAACATCGACCCCTGACTACAGAGCAAGCCTCCTTGATCGGGCCCATGGCTGGGTTTAGGGTCATATCCGGCTGCAGGGAAACCCAGAGCCATGGGCCAAGGACGCCCGAAATCTCAGTGCGGATGGGTTTAGGGTTCAGGGTTTAGGGTTTAGTTTTTAGGGTTTAGGGTTTAGGGTTTTTGGGGTGCAGGGTTTCGGATTTTGAGTGAGGTACGAGTTTCCAAAGCTCACTGCTTCAAGCTTAACTTCCACCCCTTGAATGAAACCTTCAACACGTGAAGCCATAGCGGTGTCGTAGCCTCTTTGTGCAGTGCCAGCCCCGGGAGTTGTCCAAATGAGGTACACAAAATCCGGCTTCCCTGAACGAGGAAGGATCCAAGTTTATGGCCTATAGTCTAAGGTTAGAAGTATGGGCCCATAATGTGGACCTTTGGGCCTTTCTAGGGACCCTTAAGGGTACATATAGGGTAGATAGTAGGTGTATAAGGATCTCAGGGTTAAGGGCCCATACTAGGGGCCCATGGTTTCAAGCTTAGAGATATTGGAGTTTTCAGACAACACGGCACTCGAATGTGGTGCTTCATAGTAGGACCTTCAACCCTAAACCCTAAACCCTAAACCGCTGGTTAATGTCACGTGAATTGCAACTGTCTCCTGTTCCTGAAAATCCCAAACGTCCCTCGGAAGCTACCCAAAGCGTCTCAACTGGCCCTAAACCCAAATGTTAAGCTCACGTCAATTCGAGGCTGAAGGTCATCAGCAGCCCGGTGGAGGAGTGCATCTACGTTCCCGGCGCAGAATGCTACAACCAAGGCGATAACGGCTAATAGGGTTTAGGGTTTAGGGGTTTAGGGTTTAGGGGTTTGGGGTTTTCGGGGTTTTGGGGTTTAGGGGCTTTGGGTGTAGGATTTAGGTTTTACGAATATCTGCGTCTGTGTCTGAGGGGGGTTGTTTTTTTTTTTTTTACGGGTCATAGGCTGGTTTTCTCAGACCGCACATGATACACCAGGATCCTTACTACGAGGACCTGCCCACCCATCGAACTCGGTCTGAACAGATAGCTCACCATCTCGCAGAATCCAGCACACCTTACTTAAGAATGATATCTTGAAGTATAGACGGATCTTCGCTATGATTAAAGGTCATCTCCTTCAATGTAGATCCCGTCATCTGCACAGTCGGCACGTCGTCTGCGTATCCGGATTTGTAACGGATGTCAAAAAACAAACTGGAATTGCATACTGTACGTATGATCAATATTTGTGTCCAGGTAGCTCTGGTCGTCATTTTTCGAGGGTTTTGGCAGCGCTGGCAGTATTCATATGCCTGTCTCAAGATATGCGTGTCCTCACTCACTGTCTCCCTCTCTCTATCTCTCTCGCTCTCTCTCGCTCTCTCTCCCTGCTGATGTTTGCTCTTCTCTACATCTTCACCACACCCAACACTCTAAAGTAGACAGACCAAAGCCCCGTGCCGCAAAGAGTTGCAAAGGCGAGCGCGCAATCAACTATGATCCAGTTCTCAATGGAGGCTTGACAGCATTCCGACCGCCCCCACTACCCCAAAAACAAGAGCTACGAGTTGGGGATCCAAGAAATCTATTGTGCCATAGACTAGCTACTATTTAGAAGGGTTTGCGGGTGCAGGTATACTGTAAAGCTTAACTATGAAGGCCCCGATAATTTAATGTTAGGGGTGTTTTCCTTAAGGCTGTTGGGCAATCTGGGCCAGGTTCAGGTGTCGTTGTCGCATGGTACAGGCGGTCTTTCGTTTATAGGGTTCCTTGAAGACTACGTTTAGGGTTTAGGGTTTTAAACCTGAATCACTTCAACAGTGCTTGGTTAAAGTGTTTTGCCAAGGAAGACCTCAGCCAGACAAGGAAGATGAGACAAAAAACAGCTAATACTTTCTCTATGATTCCAAAACCCTAAACCCTAAACCCCTAAACCCTAAACCCTAAACCCCTGAACCCCAAACCCTTAAACCCCTGTTCAAATTAAGTATTGAGGCCCCGAGGCTTGTGGAAGCCTCTCATGAAGCTTCTTGCTACATAAACCCAACAACCCCGAAGCCCAGAGCCCTTCCCCTAAACCAGCACAAATGAGCGGTTTAGGGTTTAGGATTGTGAACCTGAAGCCTAAACCCTAAACACCCTAATAAATCTTAAACCCTAAACCCTCAACCCTAAACCTCCTAAACCCTAAACCCTAAAATCCCCGAACCTCTTGCAGACCTTCTGGGAGCGCCTAGACTACGAGCGGATCAAGTACCAGACCGTGGTCAGGCCAGGAGCTGTCAGCGGTTTAGGGTTTTTAGGGTTTTTAGGGTTTTTAGGGTTTTAGGGTTTAGGGTTTAGGGTTTTGGGTTTCATTTTTTTAGGGCTTTTAGGGTTTTAGGGTTTAGGGTTTAGGGTTTAGGGTTTCAGGTCTTGCGGGCATTTTGTGGTTTGTGGTTTTGGGGATTTTCGGTTTTACGGATTTGGGTTGCTTTAGGCGTTTCCGGCAGTAGTCAGAGACTCGCACAATGAGTTGGGTCAATATCCAAGGACTTTCGGCTTGTCGGTTGCTTAGACTTGGGTGCTGTGTACGAGCCTGAGGGCCTTCACGGCCTTCACCCTAAACCCTAAACCCTAAACCCTAAACCCTAAACCTCCGAAGAGTTCCTGATTTCATTCCGCAGTATATCCCCAATTACCCTATTCTGACTCTTAAAGCCCCTGCCTGTACTCAACCCTAAACCCTTTTGGACTTGAATTGCCCATGGCATTATGCCGCTCGAACGTTTCATGGCCTCGGCTCCCTAAAGTTGGTCGGATGGGGTTCTCCCAAAAAGTTTGGAGATTAAGGTTTAGGGTGTCAGTGAAATGGTGTCTGTATCCTAGCAGTCGTAGAACCTGGCTGCCGAATTTGCAGTGATGCCTTCATAAAATTTGCCCTAAACCCTAAACCCTAAACCGTGAGGAGGAACGTCCTGGCCATGCCATATTACAAAAGATTCCGCATCGATACATGGACCGTCCGGAATCCTGAAGCCGACAACCTAAACCCCCACAACCCTAAACCCTAAAACCCCTGAAACCCCTAAAAACCCCCAAACCCTAAACCCTAAACTCCTAAACCCCACAACCCTAAACCCTAGAATCCCTAAACCCTTGAGACCCCACAGCTCTAAACCCTAAAACCCCACAACCCTAAAGCCACCCTAAAACAGAAAAGAAAGCAGAGGACGAAGCGGGTCCGGATGCCCTTCACCAAGAAGAAGATCGAGGTGCCTGGGTGTGTTGTCGGCACGGGGCTCCCTACTTGGAGGTTCATGGGTAGTTCTAAGTGGGGTTAGAAGTCCCCTAATATGGGTTCCTTTTAGGGCTCTATAGGGTTTAGGGCCTTAGGTAGTTACAAGTGGGGTTATAAGTTCCCTAGTATGGGTTATAACTACAGTTACCCTACTTACAACCCTACTTACAACTACCCATGAA